CCCGTCTCTACAAAACATGGAAATAAAAAAAAAAAATTACTTGGGCATGGTAATGTACACCTGTAGTCCTAGCTACTTGAAAGCCTGAGGCAGGTGGGTCGCTTAAGCTCAGGAGTCCCAGCCTAGGCAACAGAGCAAGACCTTGTTTCTTAAAATAAAACAAAAACAGGCCAGGCACAGTGGCTCACGCCTGTAATCCCAACACTTCGGGAGGCCGAGAAGGGCGGATCACGAGGTCAGGAGATCGAGACCATCCTGGCTAACATGGTGAAAACCCGTCTCTACTAAAAATACAAAAACAAAATTAGCCGAGTGTGGTGGCGGGTGCCTGTAGTTCCAGCTGCTCGGGAGGCTGAGGCGGCAGAATGGCGTGAACCCGGGAGGCGGAGCTTGCAGTGAGCCAAGATCCTGCCACTGAACTCCAGCCTGGCAGCCTAGGCAACAGAGCAAGACTCCGTCTCCAAATAAATAAATAAATACATAAACACACAAACAAACCAACAGTCAAAATATTTGAACAGATATTTCACAAAAGAAGTTGCATAAATGGGCAGTGAGGACATGCAACATGCAACATCATTAGTCACTAAGGAAATGCAAATTAAACTCACGATGAGCTACAACTACATACCAAACCAGAATGGCTAAAATTGGGGGGGCAGAGACAAAGTAAAACTGCAGTATGAATTGTTAGCAAGGATGTGAAGCAACTAGAACAAAATCTCATACTTTGTTGGTGAGAATGGAAAAATGGTATAACCATTTAGGAAAATAGTGTGGTAGCTTCTCATAGAGTTAAACATATGCTTATATACCTACCATATGACTCAGCAATTCTGTTCGTATGTATTTATACAAAAGAAAATCTATGTCCATACAAAGATACAGACACAAGTGTTCCCAGCAAGCTTTATCATTACCAAAAACTATAAAAAACCCAAATATCCATCCACAGATAAAGTGAAAATTCAGTGCAAACAAAAGCAATATACCTCTATAATATTACTCAGCAATAAAAAATGCAACTATTGATACATACAACATGTTGTATATCTAACACATTATGCTAGCAAAAGAAGCCAGACACAAGAATATGAACTGTATGATGTGTGAAAATTGATTATATGAATTGGGTCACCCATGTCATACCCAACTAAAACAGAGTAGAGAAGCCGCGGGGGAAAGCAAGCAGGGCACAAAACATTGCTCTAGAAATGTAATTCTCTGTGAGTCCAGCTGCTGAAACTGCCTGTTGTAACCTGAGACCAGTTTAATCTACAACTGCTGAGACAACTTGTTGCAACCCAGAACTATTTTTCCTGCCACTTTCACAGGTCAATCAGAGCTGACCAGCTTCCCAGAACCTTAACAGTGCCAATGAATTTTCTTGAAGAGCAATTCATGTCATGTCTCTTTTTTAACCTCCAGCCTTCTCTTTGTTCTTCAGACATACCAGAGACTATCTGGTCTGTGTGTATGCTTTGAACTGCAATTCTTTCTTCCCAAATAAAATGTTAAATTTAGAGATTCACTTCTACATTTTTTTTTTTTTTTTTTTTTTTTTTGAGACGGAGGCTCGCTCTGTCGCCCAGGCTGGAGTGCTGTGGCGCCATCTCAGCTCACTGCAAGCTCCGCCTCCCGGGTTCACGCCATTCTCCTGCCTCAGCCTCCCGTGTAGCTGGGACTACAGGTGCCGCCACCTCGCCCGGCTAATTATTTTTGTATATTTAGTGGAGACAGGGTTTCACCGTGTTAGCCAGGATGGTCTTGATCTCCTGACCTTGTGATCCGCCCGTCTCGGCCTCCCAAAGTGCTGGGATTACAGGATTGAGCCACTGCGCCCGGCCCACTTCTACATTATTTTTAAAAAATGAGACAAGAGTCTCGCTCTGTCTCCCAGGCTGTAGTGCAGTGGCACAATCTCAGCTCACTGCAATCTCCCAGGGTTCAACTGATTCTCCTGTCTCAGCATCCCAAGTAGCTGAGACTACAGACGTGCACCACCATACCCTGCTAATTTTTGTATTCTTATAGGAGACACAGTTTCCCCATGTTAGCCAGGCTGGTCTCGAACTCCTGACATCAAGTGATCCACCTGCCTCGGCCTCCCAAAGTGCTGGGATTACAGGCATGAGCCACTATGCCCAGCCTACCTCTACATTTTTAAGTTGACTTTGACAGATGCCACTTACGCAAAACTCTAGAAGGACAAATCCAAATCCAATCTACAATGATAGAAAGCAGATCAACGGTTGTCCAGAATCTGAGGTGTAATGTGGGGACTGGGTGATAAGGAATGCAAAGGAACCTTTAGGGGTATTGAAAATATTCCATATATCCTGACAGTGATAGTTGGTACATGGGTTTAGCTTTATGTCACATCATTAAACTGGAATATGATGATGACTGCCTAGATTACTGTCTTCCAGAATACCCAAACTCCAAACTATAAAGGGAAAAAAAACAACAAATCCCATGCAAACTTTTTCGTTTTCTCAATCTCATCTCCCCCTCCCCACCCCACCCCACCCCGTGCCTCAAGGCTTGCTATAGGCAAAAAGAGATGGGGGGAAAAAAAAAAACCTGCAGAAAACAGAGACGGGGCAGACCCAGTGGTGGGCATAAGACTAAATACATCCCAAGTCAGAAAATGCTAAAAAGGTGTTCCCATAAATCAAAGATTTAACAAGACAATGATGGGGCAACATTTAAAAAAAATGTAATACAGAAAGTGTTGATTTCACAGCCAGCCAAGCTGTCCTTCAAGTATCAAAGACACTGAAAAATAGTTTTAACATACAACAATTTAGGACAGGGGTCCCCAGAAACTGGACTGCACAGGAAGAGGTGAGAGGTGCACAAGCGAGCATTACTGCCTGAGCTCCACCTCCTGTCAGATCAGCGGTAGCATTAGATTCTCATAGGAGCACAAACCCTACTGTGAACTGCACATTTGAGAGATCTAGGTTGTGTGCTCCTTATGAGAATCTAATGCCTGATGATCTGAAGTGGAATAGTTTCATCTTGAAACTATCCCCTCTCCCTCAATCCTGGTCTGTGGAAAAATTGACTTCCATGAAATCAGTCCCTGGTGCCAAAAACGTTAGGGACTAACGACTTAGGGAATTCTACACCCATGAGCCTTTTCTGAGGAATTTACCAGCAGATGAACTTCATTCAAGTTCAACCAAGAGATGACAGAACATGTCAGAAAAAAAGACTGAAGGTGAACATTTTAATATATGTATATAAAAGTAGACCTACAAATAAAATGTACATAGGGATGAGGAAGGAAGATTAAGGTACAAATTTTATATAAATGTTATATTAAAATATATATAAATTATGCAATTAAAATATATATATTTAATATATACATATATATAATATATATTATATATATATAAGATCCAAGTGTTTGCCAGATAAACAATTTGGAAATATTTTCCTTGTGGCACGTTTATTCATTTCCTTGACAGTGTCTTTCACAGAACAAAAGTTTTTTAATTTTCTGAATTCCAGTTCATTAATTTTTCCTCTTGTAGATCGCTCTTTTCATGTGTTATCTAAGAAATGTGTGTAACCCAAGGTTACAAAGATTTTCTCCTATGCTTTGTTTCAGAAGATCTCCAGTTTCAGGCTTGCCCTTTCTCTTAATCGTCATCCTTTAATTCCCATCTATTACCTGTATAAAAACTATTGTGTACATGTTCTATTTTCTCTGCTTTCCCCCACTTTAACTGCATAATTTCTATATATACAAATGTTATATTTGTGTATATATACAAATATATTTTTAATATATTCATATAAAAATACATTATACAAATATATATACACATTTATGTTTGTATATATTTTTTCATATATTTGTATATATAAAAATGCAAAAAGGAATGTATATAAAAATTTGCTTTATATATTTGTATATATAAAATATATATACATTTTTATTGTATAAAATTGTATATATTGTATATAAATACATATACAAATATAACATTTGTATAACATTTGTTTATACATATATAAACTCTTAAAAACTCTTGATCATAAGAAACCAACACAAGAAACAAAAACGGGCCAAAAATTTAAACACACACTTCACCAAAGATATATAAATAACAAATAAGCACAAAAACAGATGATCAACATCTTTAGCCATTAGAAAAATGCAAACTAAAACCACAATAATAACCACTTATACACCTATTAAAATGGATTTTAAAAAATCAAAAGAACTGAGAATTACCAAATGCTCACAAAGTTGGACAGGAACTGGAACTCTCATCATCAATGACAGAAATGCAAAATGACACAGTCATTTTGATAAAGAATTTGGTAATTTCCTTACCAAAGTTTACACTTATCTAATGACTCATCAGTCATATTTCTAGATAGCAAAAGCATATGTTCACGCAAAATTCTGTACATGAAGCTTTATTATATTATCATCAGAAAAACTGGAAACCACCCAAATGTCCATCAACAGCAAAAAAGATCAAATTTCATTTCATAAAATAAAATGCTTCTCGGCAATGCAAAAAAACCATCGTCTAATATTCAAAATGACACAGATGACCTAAAAAAACATGCTGAGTTAAAAAGTCTGATGCAAAAGGGTACATGATAACGTAAAACTCCATTTATGTGAAGTTCAAGAATAGACAAAAATGATCTATCATGATGGACATAAGAACAGTAGCTGCCAGAGGCAAGGGATAAGGGTAATTGATTTCAAAGGTGCATAAAGGTGATGAATATGTTCAGTATCTTGATCGGCATGATGATTACACAGGTATATATATTTGACAAAATTCACTGAGCTATACATTTAATAGTTGTGCACTTTATTGTTTATAAATTATACTCAATAAAATGCTGTTAGCTTTGTAAAAAGGCATCAGTATATCTATTTTATTAAGGTATTATTCTGTCATCTCTCCTTTTTTAAAAAAATATTACTTCCTTAAACCAAATTTAACTATTTATTTTCTTACCGGAAGCATGATGTTCCATTCTCTTTTATTTTATTTTTCTGAGTAGGAGATGCTTGAAGCGACAGAATTTTATTTCCAGGCAGAGTAATTTGCTTTAGAATGGAAGCTATAAAAACAAAACAAGAAAAAAATAGAATACAAAAAAAGCAATCATGTCACATTAGGAAAAATCCAGGACAACAGTTTTTAATATATATAGAATAATCAAAGAAAATTCCAAGTTTCCCTAGAACTATGCTTAAATTCAAACATAACAATGAATTTATTCCCTGAATAAGAAATAATCGTATAAAATAAGAATCTTTCCATTTCTTTTTAGATAGTCTATGGAATTAGCAGTATTACAAAAACATCATGAAGTAAAAGGCACCTGAAACATGTTAATAATACACTGCTTCTATTGGTGTATTTTAAAAATACATAAAGCTCCACCTGACATTGGTAAGACTGATTTCCCAGTCTACCTGACTTGGGTAAGACTGATTTCCACACATATGTATGGATGTACATGCATACAAGTACGTATGTAGAGAAAGAACTACATTTTAAGAAGAAATATTCTATAGCAAATTTTATAAGTTAAATAAGTCCTTACTTACTAATAGATTGTTTTATCAAATTACAGAATACCATGAATAGTTGTTTTTTTTATTCCAAAACAACATATAACCCTAAAAAGTTTACATGTATGTAAAAAGAAATGTAATCATAGCTGGGTGCAGTGGCTCACACCTGTAATCCCAGCACTTTGGGAGGCCAAGGTTGGTGGATCGACCACTTGAGATCAGGAGTTTGAGACCAGCTTGGCCAACCTGGTAAAACCCAGTCTCTACTAAAACTACAAAAATTAGCCAGCTGTGGTGGTGCACGCATGTAATCCCAGCTACTCAGGAGGCTGAGAACACGAGAACTGATTAAACCTGGGAGGTGGAGGTTCACTGAGCTGAGATTGTGCCACTGTACTCCAGCCTGGGCAACAGAGCAAGACTCTGTCTGGGGAGAGAAATCTAAACATTATCTTTCTGTTTTCTTTCAATAGGTGCCAACTTTAAAAGACCAAGCCTGGCCGGGCGCGGTGGCTCAAGCCTGTAATCCCAGCACTTTGGGAGGTCGAGACGGGCGGATCACGAGGTCAGGAGATCGAGACCAGCCTGGCTAACATGGTGAAACCCCGTCTCTACTAAAAAATACAAAAAAACTAGCCGGGCGAGGTGGCAGGCGCCTGTAGTCCCAGCTACTCGGGAGGCTGAGGCAGGAGAATGGCGTAAACCCGGGAGGCGGAGCTTGCAGTGAGCTGAGATCCGGCCACTGCACCCCAGCCTGGGCCACAGAGCCAGACTCAGACTCCCTCTCAAAAAAAAAAAAAAAAAAGACCAAGCCTGTCTTCACTTAACATAGCAACAAAAAAGTCATACAAAACCCCTCTACGTTCTAACCCAGCGTGATGGGACAAAGATGGACCAGCATCTACCTGGAGGAAACTGACTGGTAGGTATTACGGTATTCACTGGCATCGTCTTCTGTCCACATTTCTGAATGGTCAATGTTGAGGAATGTGAAAGTGTGGTCACTTGCTTTTCATTGCCTCCTGAAGGCTGCTGAACTACCTGAAACAATGAGAACTATCAATATAGTCGTTCAACTTAAGGCTTTAGAAAATGATAAGATTTCAGGTTTAAACAACAGACTGTGTTCACCCAGCCATAAATATACCTTTATGTTAACATAACAAGAATGCCTACTTTAAATTTGTACGAAGCAAAATTATCCTGTTCAAAAGTAAAAAACATTACTATTTCACATACATTATTTTTAAAATGGAATTTAAAATTTTATTTCACCATGCTCAATTTAAATCTCACTATAAATCTATTTCCAATTGTTAATTACAGTGAAAAATTTAAAGCCTATATAAAAATAGGATAAAACAAAACCACCTATACCATTACCCAGCTTCAACAATGATTAATTCTTGATCAATCTTGTTTCCATCTACACCCCTACCCACTTCCCTGCCACTCTCAATTATTTTAAGGCAAATCTCAGATATATCGCTTTATCCATAAATATTTCCAAATATATCTTTAAAAGATAAGGACTTTTTATGTGTCATTTTAACAAAGTCTTTTCTTTTCTTTTCTTTTTTGTTTTAGAGAGAATATTGCTCTGTCACCCAGGCTGCAGTACAGTGGCACCATCTTGGCTCACTGCAAACCTCTGCCTCCCAGGTTCAAGTGATTCTCATGCCTCAGCCTCCTGAGTAGCTGGGATTACAGGCATGCGCCACCATGCCTGGCTAATTTTTGTATTTTTAGTAGAGACTAGGTTTCACTATGTTAGCCAGGCTGGTCTCGAACTCCTGACCTCAAGCGATCCGCCCACCTCAGCCTCCCAAAGTACTGGGATTACACCTGTGATCCCAGCGGGGATCACACAGGGCGTGTGAGCCAGTGCACCCAGACTAAATTATTTTCTTAAACCATCGCTTGAAAGCAGGAGGCAGAGGCTGCAGTGAGCCGAGATTGCACCACTGCACTCCAGCCTGGGTGACAGAGTGAGACCCTGTTTTTTTGAGACAAAACAAAACAGGTAGGAAAACAGTCATCATGTATTTGAGCCAGCTATTGATAGTGAACTTAGACTCATATATGGCAAATATAAATGTGCCATGGTCTTGCCAAAAGAGTTCTAAACAGAATTTTTGAAGTTCAATTTATTCAACTTACGTGTATTACTTTTAAAAAGTAACAAGAAACACAACATGTCCTGGTAAGTAATCATACAGTAACTAATGTCCCTAGAGAAGAAATATTAGTCAGAATAATTCAATTGCCTTTATTCTTTGAGAACAGACAAGAACTCTTTTAAAAATGATACATTTCAATGAAGCTGAGATCATATTCATGTACTGTAGTTCTAAGGATCAGGCTTAAATTATAAAAGTAATATACAGGTACCATTTTATGCATTCAGACTGAAACTCAAGAGAAACACTCTCAGCTTATTTTCTGGTTATCTGCTCTGTCCTTCTTGATGCTCCTTATTAGGTATTCCTGTCAGTATTTTAATTACGAAAGACAGTAATATTCAAAAATTGTTTAGCAGTGTGAAAGTTGTCAGAATCAAAATGAAGTCACTTGTGTTTGAAAGAGAACAAAAAACAAAACTCTAACAAATAGAGCTAGGGAAGGAAGACTAAGAAGAGAGGGTTCTCATGCTTGTATGCCTAATCACAAAAACTATCCCAATAGACCGCCAAAACCACAACCTTGCACAAAGGCCATAGCAACAGTACACAAAAAATACTTCTGCAAGGACATCATCTGCTCAGCAACTGCCTATTTAAACCTGGACTGGTGTCACCCTTGAGCTTTGTAGTCAAGGATAATCATTTCAAAACAACTATGTAATTCTTCTCATTTTTCCTTTTAAAATCTGTCCTCCTTTACTCAGGAAGACTGCTTGAGGCCAGGATTTTGAGACCTGACTGGGCAATATAGCAAGACCCTGTCTCTAACAAAAATAAAAAGTTTTTAATTAGCCAGGCATGATGGCATGCACCTGTAGTCCTAGCTACTCAGGAGGCTGAGGAAGGAGTATTGCTTAAGCCCAGGAGATCGAGGCTGCAGTGAGCCACGATGGCACCACTGCACTTCAGGCTAGGCAACAAAATGAAACCCTGAGTCTTTAAAAATTAAAAATAAAAAAAAACCTTTGTCTTCCTTTATCTCCCTGAATACACACAGTTTACTTACGGTACCTGTATTCCAACTGCAATGCTCCATTTCCAATTACATATCCTATTCTTTTAAAGAATCTCTTTGTTATTTAGGCTGACACCAGTTAGTCTTCATATCATTTTTGATGGGGACACAAAAATTTAACACAAAGTTTTGAGTTGGAACTTAACAACCTTCTATCCCCATCACTTCTCATCTTAATGACTCTAACACCTGGAACAATATATGTGTCTAGTCTAACAAAAATATGGGAGGCATACTCCTGAACATCTGCTAGGAAAAACAAAATGAGTGATAATGTAAGAGAATTCATTAATGTTCTTTCAAAGAAAGTACCACATAAAGCCACAGTACTAAGCAGATCATTTCAGCTCAGGAGTTCGAGACTAGCCTGGGCAACATGGCGAAACCCTGTCTCTACTAAAAACACAAGAAAATTAGCCGGGTGTGATGGCCTGCTCCTGCAGTCCCAGCAAGTCAGGAGGCTGAGGTGGCAAGATCATCTAAGTCCAGAAAGTCAAGACTGCAGTGAGCCATGATCATGCACTCTAACCTGGGTGACAGAAGTGAGACATTGTCTCAAACACACACACACACACACACACAAATGAGAAACATTAAAAAGGAATTTTTAAATCTATGATTATTAAAAGAAATGTATGTATTCTTCAGACCATATGGAGTTAGATTAACCCCAGATTTGATCCAGTGCAGCAATTCTTATATTTTAAATGATTATTTGCTATATTTCTTATAAGCTGCATGGAATATGTTATTTTATAGCAACATGAGTGTTCTTCTCCTCACTTAGAACTAGGATTAAATTGGACTATGGTTTATAATGGATTCAATGATGATATTCCTTAATTAACTTTCAAGCTCGAGTAATATTAATTTTCTAACTTAGTTTGTTTGAAAGAATGCCCTAGTTCAATCCTCTCTATGGCATTACCATATAGAATGGTTTATGTTGTTTCGCTCCAGGTAAATCTGTTGTGAAATAAATTACAATCCATCTTCAGTGTCTGGCCACTCGGGCTCTTGCCACTTTAAATAGGTAGGTGTAAATACTAACATCAAATTTACTGGCTAAACTTGAAACAAAGGACAAACAAGAAAGTAGAATTCACAGGGAAAATTCAATTATTAAAAATGAAGGTAGGGTAGGAAGTAAAAAAAACCCTAAAATTTACCATCAGATTTTTTTGCATTATTTCTTTATTGAAATGATTTATAATGTATAACAAGTCAAACCTACAAACAAAAATGCTGTCAAGATATTATCGTGAGACAGCTCCTGCTTCAGGACATTCCAGAAACCTAGAAGTTCTAAGAGCACCATACCGTAACGGAGAGATCATCTGGGTTCTAGTCTGAGATCCATTACCTGACTGTTTTTTGTTTTGTTTTGCTTTTGTTTTTTTGAGACGGAGTTTCGCTATTGTCACCCAGGCTGGAGCGCTGTGGCACGATCTCGGCTCACTGCAACCTCTGCCTCCCGGGTTCAAGTCGTTATCCTGCCTCAGCCTCCCAAGTAGCTGGGATTACAGGTGCCCGCCACCACACTCGGCTAATTTTTGTATTTTTAGTAGAGACGGGGCTTCACCGTGTTGGGCAGGCTGGTCTCCAACTCCTGACCTCAGGTGATCTGCCCACCTTGGCCTCCCAAAGTGCTGAGATTACAGGCATGAGCTGCCATGCCCGGCCACTTGACTGTTACTGGATGAGTCGGCTCAGAATTTCTGGATTCTTAGTTTTCTCCCAACCTTTCTATCATAAAATTATTTTAAAATCCATAGCACATAATGACATGATTTTAAAACTATGTAGCTATAAAGTATTATTTCACCCTAGGGACCTATATGCTATAGATGCTCAATAAAGATTAGCATTGATTCAAGAATCAATTATGACACATAAAGAGGATTTCAATTCTGTGCAGTACTACCAAAAAGAGGCCTTTCCTTGGGGCAACTCCTCTATTCCAGTGGTTCTCCAACCTGGCTGCCCAGAACAATGTTTAAGAATCATTGCTTCTAAAAATGTTGTTTCATCTCTGAGATTAAATTCAGGCACCCAAGAGAAATCCTGCAAGGCAGTTACATTTCTCCATTCGAAAATGAGATGCAGAGTGGGAAGGGATGAGAAAAGATTAGTGCCCAGAAAATGACCATCACTCTGTCTGCTCAAGAGTTCAACTACTCTCCAATTCTGGTCACTGATCAACCCCTTTCGTTCTATGTCCAAGGCTGCCCTGTTGCCTCAGATGGCAATCACTCAGATACTTCTTATTCTGATAACACAAACAAGGCTGGAAAGGCTACACAAGAAGCAGAATGAACCAAAACAGAGATTTCAAACACAGCCTCTAATGCAAAGCATTACAAAAGAGAAAAAGGACATTCACCAAAAGAAGAGCAAGCTCTGTTATCATAGAAGATAGGGAAGAACTTTACTAAAAACATTATGATTTTTAATTAATGCACCATGTAGTATCCCCCATGAGTTAATAATACTTTCATAGTTTTTTGGTAAAACTTATCTTTTCTTAAATTAAGAAGAACATTCTAAACACTAATCGACAAACAGCTAAAATTTCCTTCTTTCACCCAAGAACCTCCCAACCTACTAAGTTGAGGAAAAAAACCACAACAATCAGACAAAACAAAGGAATATTCTGCAGATATTCTGGGCACTTAAAACACTACAATATAATGAACAACCACAAAAAGCTAGAAAAGTATTCTAGATTAAATGAGCCGGGTACAGTGGCTCCTGCCTGTAATCCCAACACTTTGGGAGGTCGAAGTCGAGAGGATCACTTGAGGCCAAGAGCCTGGGCAACATGGCAAGACCCTCTCTCTTCAAAAAAATAAGTTAAAAGACGTTATTGGGACAATTACAGAAATACTGTACCAATATTAATTTCCTGTGTGTGACAATAGGTATGTTGTGGTTATGTTTTACAAAAAAAAAAACTTTTAGGAGATACATACACTGTGCATTGTCATAATTTTTGCAACCACTCTCAGATGGTTCAGTAAAGACTTATGTGTTTGCTGCTGGGTGTGGTGGCTCATGCCTGTCTGTAATCCCAGTGCTTTGGAAGGCCAAGGCGGGTGGATCACTTAAGGCCAGGAGTTCAAGACTAGCCTGGCCAACATGGAGAAACTCCATCTCTAACAAAAATACAAAAATTAGCCAGCACAGTGGTGCACACTGGTAATCCCAGCTACTCAGGAGGATGAGGCATGAGAATTGCCTGAACCTGGGAGGCGGAGGTTACAGTGAGCCAAGATTGTGCCACTGCCACTGCACTCTAGCCTGGGCGACAGAGTGAGACTCTCTCTATCTTAAACAAAACAAAACAAAAAAAAAGACTTACATGTGTGTTTATAGGTGTGAGTAGAAAGAGGAAAATAAAGCAAATGAGGTTAAAAAAAAAAAAAAAATTTAATTGGTCAAACCCGTAAACAGTATACAGCCTTCCCAGTTTTTTTAGTAGTCTTACCAGTTTTCTGAATGTTCAAAATTTTCAAAATAAATAACTGAGGAAGAAACAAAATTTGTTACTCACTAGTTGCTTGACTTGAACTGCCTGTGGAATCCCAGCTGGTTGTGAAAGGACAGGGCCTGGCTGGGCAAGTTTGATTTGAATTGGAGTCCCAATAACAGGCTTGTCAGATGTGGTCCCAGCAGAAGTAACAACAGGTTTCACAGATGGAAGACAAATAGCTGCACCTGAAGTTTCTCCAAAAGTTACTGCTGGAAGGGACAGTGTTACTGCTGTTCCAGAGACAACTGGCTTTTCAGGTTGCAGTGAGACCGTGGTCACTGTGTTTGGTACAGATGTCACAAGTGGTTTTGAAGTCTGAAGCAAAACAGTTCCAGCTGTTGTTCCTCCTGTTGCAGCAGCTGGGCCCACAGAATGAAGTGTCACAACTCCAGCTTTTGCTCCCACTGGACCAGCAAGTGGGTTCAAAGCTTGCACTGACACAGTTCTGGGTGCTGTTGCTCCAGAAACAATAAAGGACTTTTCAGACTGGCTTGAGGACGCTGTTGTTGTCACCACAGGAGAAGTTGTTACTGTTGTAGTACAGGTAGCAATGACGATCTCACTAGAGGTCTGCTGAACACATTGCTGGATGAAGCTCTGGGAGTTAGGCAGAAGTTGTCGTAAGGCAACCACGCTTTTCTGGAAACGTAGAGGAATGGAAAAAAACACTGCTAACAAATCAGCTACGTGTAAAACAAAATGTGGTATTTCATACCTTTACAACTTAAAACCAATCAAAAGTGTATCAAGTATTTCAGTTGAAGACAGCTGGTATCACTTACTTATATCCTGTCAATATCCAGGATACAATCAATTTGAAGCTCAAAAGTGCTTGTTTTCCAATATGAAATTACTATATCTCAGTATTAAGCTTATTTGTATTCTCTCAATATCAATTTGGTACAACATGTATGATACTTTTCTATAATCATCTAAACCCTATAATAGATCATTAACAACTTCAGCATTTGTAAGTTTATTTAAACCACAGCAGAATCTAGGTCTCTTCATTAAGTAACTTTCAAACTTTGGATAGAAATAGGTGCAGTGGCTCATGCCTGTAATCCCAGCACTCTGGGAGTCCAAAGCAAGCAATCACTTGAGGCCAGGAGTTTGAGATCAGCCTAGGCAACATGGCAAAACCCCATCTATACAAAATATACAAAAAATAGTCAGGCATGGTGGGCACACACCTGTAGTCCCAGCTACTCGGGAGGTAGAGGTTGCAGTGAGCTGAGATCATGCCACTGCACTCCAGCCTGGGTGGCAGAGTAAAACCCCATCTCAAAAAAAAAAAAAAAAAAAAAAGGAAAGGAAGAAATAGTCTTTCAAAGCCTGGGCAACATGGTAAAACCCTGTCCCTACAAAAACTACAAAAACTAGCAGGGCATAGTGGTGCATGCCTGTAGTCCCAGCTGCTGCAGGGGCTGAGGTGGGAGGATCACTTGGGCCCGGGAGGTTGAAGTTGCAGAGAGCTGTGATCACATGACTACACCCCAGCCTGGGTGACAGAGCAAAACCTCAACTAAAAAAATTTTTTTTTAATAAAAACAAAGAAATATCTTTAAATCAAAACAAAATTAAATACAAAGTGAATTTTATGATCTGAAAGAACTGAGCTAGCATATTTTCTTTTTTTTTTTTTTTTTATTGAGACGGAGTCTCACTCTGTTGCCCAGGCTGGAGTGCAGTGGTGCGATCTCAGCTCTCTGCAACCTCTGCCTCCCAAGTTCAAGTGATTCTCCAGCCTCCTGAGTAGCAGGGACTACAGGCACATGCCACCACTGGCTAATTTTTGTATTTTTTAGTAGAGACAGCTGTGTTGGTCAGGCTGGTCTCCATCTCCTTGCCTCAGGTGATTCGCCAACCTCAGCCTCCCAAAGTGCTTGGATTACAGGTGTGAGTCACCACACCCACCCAAGCACACTTTCTGACTGTCAGCATCCATCTTTGTATCCTACTTAAAGAGTAAAGGCAGTTCAAACTAAAAACTAGTAGGCTCTGCCTTTTCATCCCTGGAGTTTTCATTTGTTTAGCCAACAGAGATGGAAAGCTAGGGCTCTTGTGTCAAACAGCCAAGTTGTGAATGCAAAGGAAAAGTTCCTAAAGGAACTTCAAAGAGCTCCTCCATGTGACACATAAACGGTAAGAAAACGAAACAGCCTTATTGGTGACATGGAAAGTTTGAGTGGTGTGGACAGAAGATCAAACCAGCCACAACATTCCCTTAAGCAAAAGTCTAAACCAGAGTATAGCACTAACTCTTCAATTCTATGAAGGCTGAAAAATGAGGAAGCTACAGAAGAAAAGTATGAAGTTAGGAGAGGCTGGCTCATGAGGTTTAAGGAAAGAAGCTCTCTTGATAACTAACATAAAAGTGCAAGGTAAAGCTGCAAGTACTGATGCAGAAACTGCAGCAAATCATACAGAAGATCTAGCTAAGATTTTTTTTTTTTTTTTTTTTTTGAGACGGAGTCTCGCTCTTGTCACCCAGGCTACAGTGCAATGGCACGATCTTGGCTCACTGCAACCTCTGTCTTCCGGGTTCAAGCAATTATCCTGCCTCGGCCTCCCAAGTAGCTGGGACTATAGGCATGCGCTACCATGCCCAGCTAATTTTTTAACTTTTTTCAGGAGAGTTAGGGTTTCTCCATGTTGGCCAGGCTGGTCTCAAACTCCTAACCTCCGGTGATCTGCCCACCTCAGCCTCCCAAAGTGCTGGGATTACAGGCGTGAGCCACCACGCCTGGCCAACAACAGATTTCCAATGGAGACAAAAACAACCTTCTATTGAAGGAAGCTAGGTCTTTCATAGCTTTTTGCTGAGGAAAAGTCAACGCATGGCTTCAAGGCTTCAAAGTACAGGCTGACTTACTTGTTAGGGGCTAATGTAGCTGGTGACTTCAAGTGGAAGCCAATGCTCATTTACTATTCCAAAAATCCTAGGACTCTTAAGAATTATGCTATGTCTACTCTGCCTGTGCTCTATCAATGAACAAAGCATGGATGACAGCACATCTATCCACAGCATGGTTTACTGAATATTTTAAGCCCACTGTTGAGAACTACCGCTCAGGCAGGGGGAGGGAATTCTTTTCAAAATATTACCACTCATTGACAATACACCTCATCACCCGAAAATTCTGATGGAGATGTACAAGGAGATCAATATTGGTTTCCTGTCTGCTAACACATCCATTCTGCAGTCCACATACATCAAGGAGTAATTTTTACTTTCAAGTATTATTTAAGAAATAGATTTTGTAAGACTACAGCTGTCACAGACAGTGATTCCTCTGATCAATTTAGGGGCAAAGTCAACTGAAAACTTTCTGGAAAAGATTCACCATTCTAGATGCCATTAAGTATATTTGTGAGTCATGGCAGGAGATCAAAATATCAACATTAACAGGAGTTTATAAGAAGTGGATCCCCATCCTCATGGATGACTTTGAGGGGTTCAGAACTTCAGTGGAGGAAGTCACTGCAGATATGGCAGAAACAGCAAGAGAACCACAGTTAGAAGTGGAACCCGAAGATGTGACCGAATTGCTGCAATCTCATGATAAAACTGGAAGAGATGATGAGTTGCTTCTTACAGATGAGCAAAGAAAGTGGTTTCTTGAAATGGAAGCTACTCCTGGCCAAATGTTATAAATGTTGTTAGGATGGTAACAAAGAATTTAGAATATGACAACAACTTAGTTAATAAAGCAATGGCAGGGTATGAGAGAATTGACTCCAATTTTGAAAGAAGTTCTGCTGTGTGTGAAATGCTATCAGACAGCACTGCATGCTACAGAGAAATCTTTTGTGAAGGGAAGGATCAACTGATGACTCAAATTGCACTGTTGTCTTAATTTAAGACATTGCCACAGCTGGGTGTGACCACCTTCAGTGACCACCACCTTGACCAGTCAAAAGCCATCAACATTGAGGTAAGACTCTTTACCATCAAAATATTATAACTTGCTGAAGGTTCAGATGATTGTCAGCACTTTTTAGCAATAAAGTATTTTTTAATTCACCTATGTAATTGTTTTTTCAAATATAATGCTATTATAAACCTAATAAAGCATACCATAAAAAGTTTTATATGCATTTGGAAACCAAAAATTTTATATGACTCACTTCATTGTGATACTAGCTTTCTTATGGTGGTCTGAAACCAAACCTGCAATATCTCTGTGGTATGTCTGTATATTCTTATACAAGCATTAAACAATATAATCATGAACTTATGTTCATGAATAAAATGTTACTTCTCTTTTTTCAAAGTGTTCAAATTAAAAGAATACTATGAATATGCTTTACAGCTTACAAAAACACTTACAAAAAAAAAAAAAAAAAAAACTCAGGTTTCTCCCACAGTCAGTATCTTCATATTCAACTGCTGTCATATTGAAATAGTCCAGCTTTTAATTATTTTAGAGTAATCTAATCCAAATTATTTCTTCTAAGTGAAACATAACTCTACCTTAAGAAAAGGAACCAGGTGAGGCTGAGGTGAAGACTTGAGTTCAACATACAGTTTCCTAGTAAATTCTTCTGCTTCGATTTTTGCATCCTGAGGGATGGGAGAAACAGAAACAATTTTAAGTCTACAAATATTTTAAAAGAGACAAAGTATATAATTCATGATTGTAGATATAGCAAACTTTTCACAAATGATAAAGTCAATTAAATATAGGCTTTTTTTCATGCCAGCTATGAAATGTGTAAGCATAAATAATAGAGATGTTTATTCATAGAGAATACAATGAAGGGGTGATTTTTTTTTCTTTTAAAGATCCCAGGAAGCAAAGAGAAGAGCTGACAGGCCGAGTAATACTACATTATTACAATCTGTTAAGAACAATTAAGAAGTGAAGGCACAGGTGTCTTAAATTTCTTAGGGTAGGGAACAGGAAGTTATACAGTTTGGAGACCTTGGTGTTTAAGTTCTCTGAAACAATTTGGAAATTAATCTGCTAGCTTGCTGCTGTTCTTTGCACACAAGAGTCAGGGACAACATTTCCAGAATTAGTAGAAGTATTTCCAAAATACCCTGACGCCAGTGATAATGTGTAAGATGTAGCTGATTGAATTATCTTATTCTTTTCAAATGTATAAAATATAGTTTTTAAAATTTTGCCTACTAGGACATATTTTATACTTAATAAAGATTGTAATTGTGTGTTGACAGAGAACATCTGGTTTGTTCTTCATGAAGTCATGGAAGGAGCATTCAAGTAAAGGTAACTATGACCTTAGATTTAAAAAAAAGAAAAAAAATTCAGCTTTTATTTTAGAATCAGGAGGTACAAGTTTGGAGTACAGGTAGTGTACCAGGTACACTCGTCACCCAGGTAGTGAGCACAGTTATCTGCGAGGTAGTTTTTCAGCCCTCACGCCCCCTCACTCCCACTTTCTAGTAGTTCTCAGTGTCTATTGTTCCCATCTTTATGTCCATGTGTACTTAATGTTTAGCTCCCACTTATAAGTGAGAACATGTAGTATCTGGTTTTCTATTCCTGCATTAATTTGCTTAGGATAATGGCCATTTATGCTGCTACAAAAGACATGATCTTGTTCTTTTTTATGGCTGTGTAGTATTCCATGGTGTATATGTACCACTTTTTATTTATCCATCCCACTGTCAATGAACACCTCTGCTGATTCCATGTCTTGGCTGTTCTCAGTAGTGTTGCAATAAACATACAAGGGCGTATGTTTTTTTATAGAATGATTGATTTTCCCTTGGATATATACCCAGTAATGGCATTGCTGGGTCAAATGGTAGTTCTATTTTTAGTTCTTTAAGAAATCTTCAAACTGTTTTCCACAATGGCCAAATTAATTTACATTCCCACCAACAGCATATAAGTGTTCGCTTGTCTCCACAGCCCCACCAGCATCTGTTTTTTCACTTCTTAATAACAGCCATTTTGACTAGCATGAGACGGTATCTCACTGTGGTTCTGATTTGCATTTCTCTGATGATTAGTGATGATGAGCATCTTTTCATGTTTGTTGGCTGCTTGTATGTCTTCTTTTCAGAAGTGTCTGTTCATGTCCTTTACCCATTTTTTAATGGGGTTGTTTTTTTCTTGTTGATTTTTAAGTTTCTGATTTTTTCTGTATATTAGACCTTTGTCAGATATATAGTTTGCAAACATTTTCTTCCATTCTGTAGGTGGTCTGTTTACTATGTTGACAGTATCTTCTGCTGTGCAGAAGCTCTTAGTTTAGTTAGGTTCCACTTGTCATTTTTTGTTTTTGTTGCAACTTCTTTTGGAGAGTTAGCCACAAATCCTTTGCCAAGGCCAATGTCAGGAAGGGTATTTCCTGGGTTTTCTTCTAGGACTTTTACAATTTGAGGTCTTACATTTAAATCTTTAATCCATCTCAAGTTAATTTTTATATATGGTGAAAAGCAGGGGTCCAGTTTCATTCTTCTGCACATAGATAACCAGTTATCCCAGCACCATTTGAAGAATCAGTCCTTTTCCCACTACTTTTTTTTTTAGATGGAGTCTCACTGTGTCACCTAGGCTGTAGTGCAGTGGCAAGATCTTGGCCCACTGCAACCTCCCCCTCCTGGGTTCAGGCAATTCCCCTGCCTCGGCCTCCTGAGTAGCTGGGACTATAGGCATATGCCACCACACCCAGCTTATTTTTATATTTTTTTAGTAGAGATGGGGTTTCGCCATGTTGGCCATACTGGTCTCAACCTCCTGACCGCAAGTGATCCGCCTGCCTCAGCCTCCCAAAGTGCTGGGATTATAATAGGCATGAGCCACTGTGGCCAGGCCCCATTACTTATTTTTGTCGACACTGTCAAAGATTAGATAGTTGTAGGTGTGCAGCTTTATTTCTGGGTTCTCTATTCTGTTCAATTGTTCTATGTGTCTATTTTTGTATCAGTGCCATGCTGTTTGGGTCACTGTAGCCTTATAGCATAGTTTGAAGTCAGGTAATGTGATGCCACTTGGCTTTGTTCTTTTTGCTTAGAATTATTTTGGCTATTCAGGCTTTTTTTCGGTCCTATATGAATTTTAAAATAGTTTCCTCTAATTCTGTGAAAAATGGCATTTATAGTTGGACAGGAATAACACTGAATCTGTAAATTGCTTTGGGCAGTATGGCTATTTTAATGATATCAATTCTTTCAATCCATAAGCATGAATTTTCAGCAGTGTTTTGTATTTCTCCTTGTAGAGATCTTTCACCTCCTTGGTTAGCTGTATTCCCAGGTACTTCATTTTTGTGTGTGTGGCTATTGTAAATGGGACTGTGCTCTTGATTTGGCTCTTAGCTAGAACGTTTTTGGTGTATAGAAATGCTACTGATTTTTGAACACTGATTTTATACCCTGAAACTTTACTAAAGTCGTTTATCAGTTCTAGAATCCTTTTGGCAGAGTCTTTAGGATTTTCTAGGCATAGAATCATATCATCAGTGAAGACAGAGTTTTACTCCTTTTTTTCCTATCTGGAGGCCTTTTATTTCTTTCTCTTGCCTGACTGCTCTCACTAGAACTTCCAGTATTATGTTAAATAGGAATGGTGAGACCTTGTCTTGTTCCAGTTCTCAAGGGAAATGGTTCAAGCTTTTGCTCATTCAGTATGATATTGGCGATGGATCTGCAAGACTATTTTCAGAATGACACTGTAAATCCATAACAGCAGTTCCAAAGAACTGAGGAACTTTACACATTGCTTACACTATTAAGCATTTCAGGAGTATGTGTGGTCTACATTATTTTCCATTAATACTAATATCTTGGAGAGAAAGCCTTTTTCACTAAGCTAATATTTGCACAGATGGTGCAAAGGCAACAATGGGTTAAACTACTGTAAGAAAGGCAATGGCAAAGTGAAACAGCTGTCATCACATTCTACAGTGCTATGTGCTTGGAGGGAAGAAAAAAAAAAAAAGAAGAAGGCCAAGCACAGTGGCTCACACCTGTAATCCCAGTACTTTGGAGGGCCAAGGGTACAGGATCACTTGAGGCCAGGAGTTGGGAGACTAGCCTGGGCAACACAGTGAGACCCTATCACTACAAAAAAAAAATTTTAAATTAGCTGGGCATGATGGCACCTCTAGTCCTAGCTTTTGGAGGGTGAAGTGGAAGGAGCCCTTGAGCCCTAAGTTTGAGGCTGCAGTGAGCTAGTATCATACCACTGCACTCCAGCCTGAGCAACAGAGCAAGACTCTTACTCTAAAAAATAAAAATAAAAAAAATAGAGCCAATTTCGCTTTGAAACATCCTTGGATGAAGCAGTAAAAATTAACTTTACTAAATCTCAACTCTGCAGTAGAAACCTCTTTAATTGTGTATAACAAAATAGAAACCACACATAAAGCATTTCTGTTGCAGATCAAAGTAAGAGAATCTAGGAAAAGTACTGTAATTGAGTCGCTAGCTAAACTAGCCACTTTTTCCCATTTTTACTGAAAAGAATGGCAAAGCAATTGTGGTTATTCAGACTTGGGTATTTGTTAGATATTTTCTCAAGAACAAACTAAACCTCTAATAGTGAGGAAAATAATTGATAGTATTTGTTGCTAATGATAAAAATTAAAGCTCTCAAGCCAAAATTACAATTTTGAAAAATGTATAACAACTATTCTGAGCTTGATAGCTTCCTGGTATAAGAATTTTCTAATAAGGTTGGTGAATTTAATGAGCATGTTATTTTGATATCTTAAATAATAAAACTGGAAACATTTGAAAGATCTGCATAACTCAGTGAACCAGTATTTTTCCCAATGAACGATGAATGTCATTACAAAAATCATACGTGGGTAAAAGATCCATTCAGGGTGCAAGATAAACCAGTAGACTCTAAAGACTATCCACCATGATCCGGAGAAAAGCTATTTTAATAAGATAATCACTATTCCAACCACCTCTCTTCACAAGACCAGATATTCTCCAAATACTTCCAAAAAAATAACACATCACAAAACAGACTAAATGCAGAAGAACATATGAGAATCCAGCTGTTTTCCATTAGGTCAGCCACTAAGGAGATTTGCAAAATTGGTACAGCAATACCACTCTTTCATTCAATTTTGTTGTTGTTTTGGAAACTCGGTTTTCACTTAAATGCTAGTTATGTTAACGCTTAATGGGTTTACTGTTATTTTTTAATAAACAAGCTGGGCACGGTGGCTCACGTCTGTAATCCTAGCACTTTGCCAGGCCGAGGTGGGACGATTACTTGAGCTCAGGAGTTTGAGATCAGCCTGGGCAACATAGCAAGACCCTGTCTCTACAAAAAAATTTAAAAAATGAGCCAGGAGGTGGCACATGTCAGTGGTCCCAGTTACCTGGGAGGTTGAGGTGGTAGGACTGCTTGATCCCAGGAGGGTCAGGACAGCAGGGAGCCTTGTTCATGCCACTGCACTCCAGCCTGGGTGACACAGTAAGACCCTATCTCAAAAAAAATTTTTTTAATACAAAAATGTTAAACATTTTTCAGTTTTAATGTTAACCCCGCAAAAACAAAATGCTTTGGGGAGTCCTCAAGTTTTCAGAATATAAAGGTATCCTGAAACCAAATTATTTTAGAACTGCTGTTTAGTCATTCTAAAGTAAACAGATCTTAAAACCAGAGGCAACATTTTATTAATTCCTAACTGCTCCTATCTGTCCATAAAATTCACCCATGTTTTGTGGTTAAAAAGTCTTTAATATTTTATGGGATATGTGTTCCTTTCCATCATGTCTCTTCATCTAGAGTATTCCATTTCAGAGAAACAAGTCATCATATCCCCTTTCAAAACTAGCAAACCTTGAAAAGGGAAGATCAAATGTTTACTTTTAAAAAGACACCCAAAAGTTGAATTAAAAATTTGTTAGTATGACGTATTTTAGACATCCGAAATAAAAACATCTTCCCAAATGAAAAACTAACCATTTCAAGTGTGCTTTATTTCTAACATCTTACAGGCAGCATTAAAAACAGTAGTAAAGAAGGTATTTTAATATTTATAAACTATGCTTGTTTTTGCTGTATAATAATTGAAATATACACATTTTCTACTGGGGAAAAAAGGACAATTTTTATGTGAAAAATATAATTCTAATTACATGGTGAGAGAAATCTGTATATTATAGTAGTTCAAAAAACCCAAATCCATTTGTCTGTTACGTCCTCAGAATGCCTTAAGCATATAATATATTTGCTAACTTCCACCTTCACTCTTTTTAGTGTACCTATATATTTTACCTGAAAGAGGACGTAAGAAACCAAAGGCATATAATTTGGTGGCTAAAAGACATAGCACCTTGGCATTCATAAAAATATCAATAATCATCATGTTTAACATTTTCATCTGTAAGATGAGAATCTTATAGATAAGGAAAGTGAGGCCTAAGAGCATTAACTAACTTTTGTGGTCCCAAAGCTTCATGTCTATCGGACATATGAGAACTGAATTTCATTATCTATTGATAGCCTGGCTTTCTGAGATTTCATAATTCTTTTTTTTTTTTTTTTTTGGAGACAGAGTCTTGCTCTGCTGCCCAGGCTAGGGTGCAGTGGTGCAATCTCAGCTTACTGCAACCTCCTCCTCCCAGGTTCAAGCGATTCTCCTGCCTCAGCCTCCCAAGTAGCTGGGATTACAGCCATGTGCCACCACACCTGGCTAATTTTTGTATTTTTAGTAGAGACAAGGTTTTACCATGTTGGCCAGTCTGGTCTCAAACACCTGACCTCAGGCGATCCACCTGCCTCGGCCTCCCAAAGTGCTGGGATTACAGACATGAGCCACTGCACCCAGGCAAGATTTCATAATTCTAACAATAATTTCCTATTGACTAAATAATGAATCTTCTCTCCGAGGCCCTCTGTATGGTAAGGGAGGCAAGACTGATGTACAGAAATAATATATATATCAAAACATCATGTTGCATATCTTAAACATAAACAATTTTTAAAATGGTAAATTTTAAAAAGAAATATACAATAGGTTTATCTAGCCAAGATTAATAATCTTTACAAAGCTTTCAAGCGGCAAAAAACAAAATTTATCAAGAACTACATTTAAAATAAATCTCAGGCCGGGCTTGGTGGCTCATGCCTGTAATCCCAGCACTTTGAGAAGTCAGGGCGAGTGTATCACTTGAAGCCAGGGAGTTTGAGACCAGCCTGGCCATCATGGCAAAACTCCGTCTCTACTAAAACTACAAAAATTAGCAGAGTGTGGTGGTGCACACCTGTAATCCCACCTAAAAGCTGAGGCACGAGAATCATTTGAACCCAGGAGGCAGAGGTTGCAGTGAGTCGAGATTACGCCACTGCACTCCAGCTTGGGCAACAGAGCAAGACTCTGTCTCAAAAAAATTAATTAATTAATTTAAATAAATATCATTTAAAAATATGCATTTCCCAATTAAAACATGTTATAGGGATTCTACCAGAACCTGCAGGATTTTATAGCACTACTTACCAAAAGTTGTTCCACCAGCTTCTTCACATTTTGTCCCATTTCTGGGGACTGTGATCCACTACATGCTAGTTTTATTAACATTGCAAGGAAGTTCTTGCATTTCTTCACATTTTCTAGCATTGTCTAAATATGAAAATGTAAATATAAGCAAACACAGGTGTTAGTGAGCAAACAATTCAAAAAATCTTGCAAGGAACAAGATTTATATAAGGTGCAAGTAAGAGCTTACCGGAGAAAGATTAACCTGAACAGCTGCTGAGTTCTCTGCTTTAAGATTGGGCTCATTTGAAGGAGTGGATGATGCTCCCAAACTTGAAGGCTTCAGGGTAGTTACAGTATTCAATGGCTTTCCAGGAGTAACTGTGACGACACTGGTTGGCACAGTCACAGACTGAAATTAAAGGTATTAAATATTTAGGCATGTATTACTATGACACATTAGTGGGTGCCTCATTTCACACTCATCAGACAAGTTAATTTTGACATCTGTGGTTTTATGTTATGCTCTAACCTAGTCTAAGGTAATATAACAGTTCTAGGAACTCTTGAGTCTAGCAGATCTGGGTTTCATTCTCACCACATCTATCTACTATTTCATACCACCTACCAAGTGTTGACTGCAGGCAAGTTACTTAATCCTGCTAATCCTGATTACTCTCTGCAAAAACAGGGATAGCAACGGTACCTGCTGTCCTAGGATTTTTTGTGAAAAACAGTGCTAAAGCAAATAAGTCCTCAAAAAATATTATTAACACTCCAAGAAGTATTTGAAAGTCTTTATGAGAACATAGAATACTCTGCTTTTTCTTAAAAACAGAGCAGAGCAATCTACTTATTATCTAACATTCAGATAAACTGCTTTTATGCAGACCATTAAAGCATGAAGAATATTACAAAATGTGGTATGTTCACACTGAAAAGAATTTCAGTTGTTTCCTCTACCTTCTATCAAAATGAGGTGTGACTCTAGCACCACCTACAGGACAAAAACCTCATACAAGAAATCACAAGTCAGGTAGTAATTTAGAAAATCACATTGAGATAAAGCAACAATCTTATTTTAAAGACAAACACTAAAAGTTAAGAACATAATAAAAGTTTGGGATCAGGAATAAGGAATAGTATTTACATACAATTCACACAGAAAACTGAACAATGCACCATCATTTAATTTAAATGTCTATGTTCTACAAGCATGCAACTCTAAAAGGTCAAGTTGTTATCAACTTCAAGAAAACTTCCTTCTATAATGGTCAAGATAGGTGAATTTGAATGTACAACAAAATCTCCCACATTAGAGAGACTGGAACATATATTAGACAAGAATGTTCTGAGTAACAAATGGGAAGGAGGACAAGTGCAGTGGCTCACACTTACAACACCAGCACTTTGGAAGGCTGAGTCAGGAGGATTGCCTGAGGACAGGAGTTTGAGACCAGTCTGGGCAACATAACAAGACCCTGTCTCCAGGAAAAAATGTCCTTTACAAACGGGAAGAATATTTAAAATGCTGAGAATTGACAGGAGAGGGGTGGGGACACATGGTAGCCCTAAGGTGGGTTTGGGGTATATGGGCCTTCATTTTACTATTATTTTTTTCAACAGCAAACATATTACATATGTGTACATATTACGTGTAGTCTTGTTTGCGTGTGTGTGTGTGTGTGTGTGTGTGTGTGTATATATATATATTTTTTTTTTTTTTTTAAGACGGAGTCTGGCTCTGTCGCCCAGGCTGGAGTGCAGTGGCGCTATCTCAGCTCACTGCAAGCTCCGCCTCCCGGGTTTATGCCATTCTCCTGCCTCAGCCTCCCGAGTAGCTGGTACTACAGGCGCCCACCACATCGCCCGGCTAGTTTTTTGTATTTTTTTTGAGTAGAGACGGGGTTTCAACGTGTTAGCCAGGATGGTCTCGATCTCCTGACCTCGTGATCCGCCCGTCTCGGCCTCCCAAAGTGCTGGGATTACAGGCTTGAGCCACCGCGCCCGGCCGTATATTTCATATTAATGCATAATAAAAATATTAAATACCATATACTAATACATTTGAAACAAAACCAAAAGGGTTTTTGGAAAAACATGAAGTGACAAAATTAGCACAAAACACAGAAACTAGAATAGACAAATAAAAGATATTGAAATTATAACCAAAAAGACCTCCCTCCCTCAAGTCTCCAGACTCAGATACGTTCCATGTGATTTTTCCACACTTGTGCCTAACTCCTGTCTTAGACAACATGTTCCAGAAAAACAGAATAAGGAAAGCTGTTCAGTTCATTTTATGACAAAGGCTGTAACATATTTCAATAGTGAATAAGGATAATAGAAGAAAAGTAAACTAAAAGCTCATCTGGCAAAAACTTTAATAAGATTTTTAAATTACTGATTAATGATGAGGACTAGAACTAACAATAAAGTTTTTAACAAAAGAGAAAAAATTAAAAATTACACCTTAATACAATTTTGTTAAATATAGATAGAGCCTCAAAGGCAACATTCAAAAGGAAGTCGCCCTCCTTTTCATATCCTTAGGCCTGCTCTCCAGAGACAATGACCACGCAGCTTCTTCTGAATTCTTGCGGAGATTTTCTAATAAATTTTTAGTTTTCTGTACAGTAAATAAGCCTCTTTCTTTAGTCTGTCTTATAATCAGTCATTAACTCTCTCCATAATTAAGAAAGTGTAATCTGGAATTTTAGCTGGTGGTTATGATCACCTCTGAGGACTGATGGGAGAGGTTCCATGGGGGCGTACTGTCCCCCTCCCTCAGGAAGCAAGCTAAAGTCCAACTGAAATGTGAGTTTAGGAAAAACGTCCTATCATTTATAAGAAGAGGGGACATTTATGGAATTCTTTTTATCCTGTCTCCGGTAAAAAAAATTGGTCCTTCATAACACTTTCTAGTATAGCTACTACTTGTATCTCACCACAGCGGTCCCCAACCCCCATGCCACGGGCGGGTATGGGTCTGTGGCCTGTTAAGAACAGGGACACACAAAGGCAAGTGAGCCTTATTGCCTGAGCTTTGCCTCCTGTCAGATCAGCAGCACCATTACAATCTCATAGCAGTGGGAACCCTCTGGTGAACTGCGCATGCAGGGGATTTAAGCTGCCCTCTCCTCGTGAGAATCTAATGCCTGATGATCTTCAGACGCAACCCGGTAGACACGGTGAAGGTCCCAGAAGAATCGCCCACACGCCTGCCCACTGGGAGGAGGGGTGGAGCCTCGGGAAGATCACGCCCTTTGCAAGGGGGAGGAGCCTGGCCTCTCCTGTTCCTGTGTGGTGACCCCGAGATTCAATTTGTGAGATGGGGGCCTGTTAACGGGAACCCCTCTGGCCCTGCTGAGTTTTTTTTTTCCTTTTTGCCTAATAAATTCCATTTCCCCTCATCCTTCAAAGTGTTTTTGTTTTGTTTTGTTTTGTTTGAGACGCAGTGTTGCTCTGTCACCCAGGCTGAAGTGCAGTGGTGCGATCTCGGCTCACTGTAATCTCCAACTCCCTGGTTCAAACGATTCTCCTGCCTCAGCCTCCTCAATAGCTGGGATTACAGGCGCCCACCACTACACCCGGCTCATTTTTGAATTCTTAGTAGAGACAGGGTTTCACCATGATGGCCAAGCTGGTCTCGAACTCCTGATCTCAGGTGATCCACCCGTCTAGGCCTCCCAAAGTGCTGGGATTACAGGTGTGACCCACCGCACCCAGCCCAAAGTGTCTTAAACTCAATCACAACTCTGCCTTTGACTCAATAGACCAGCCAATAGTAACTTCAATGCTTTGCAAAGCTGCACTGACTGACTAGGCATGTTTTGAGGACAGGAAGAAAACGGACTGAAGTATATGTGAAATAAACGTGTGAAAATCATTTCTACACAGAGCCAATAAAATGAGTTGTATGGAAATTGAGAAGACGAAATAGCATTTTAAGGAGGGTCATTTTCTGTACCTGTCTGAAAGAGCAATCACTTTAGGTATGTTCATATTTAATTAGAAATACTATTCATTTGCATATTAGATTCCAACCTAACAATGAGCCAAACTACATCTTCGTCAAATACAACATAAAAGTGAACACAAGATTTCTAACTAGTCCTTGTGTTATATTTATTAGACTAAGCCTAATAGGAAAACACTTCCAAAATTTCTTAATACACATTTGCCTTTACAGTCTGACAATCAAGTACAAGGAGTTGTATCTTGTCTCATTTTTAAGTTCTAGCTCCTTATTTCCATGCCTAAAACTGAGATGCTTATCCCTTAAAGTGGACAAGTATCATTAACTTCATTCTTTACTAATTTCCACTGCTCTAGGCTACTACTAAGGAGTAGCCCAACTTAAAATATGCATCAACCTAAATTAGGAAAAATAAATGGTTCACACAAAAACATCAATGACAGATTAGCATGAGCATTTTAAGATACCTACGGACATGAGGAAACACACAAATTTCAATTATTTCTATTGTGACAAAGTCACAGGTATGTGCTAACACAATGTAATACTCCATAGTTCCATAGTTTGAAGCCTACATTCATAGCTGAAAGAAATTCTAAGTTTTAGTTAAAGCTTAGTAAAGATTTTCCCCCTCATCTGAATTCACAGACTCCAGGTTGTCTCTTTTATAAAAACTACTAATATAGGCTGGGTGCAATGGCTGATCCTTATAATCCCAGCGTTTTGCAAGGCAGAGGCAGGAGGATTTGCCTGAGCCCCAGTAGTTCAAGAACAGCCTGGGCAACAGAGTAAGACCTCATCTCTATTTTTTAAATAAAGTAATTTTTTAAAAAACTACAAATATAATTAGTGTTCACTGACTATGATTACTAAGTAAATGAACACAAGTGTTCACATTCTAGAACTATTAAGACTTCAACGAATATTTAGAGAGCACAGAAATAGAATTGTGGCTGTAGCTGGCAGGGGACAGATTAAAGTCCATGGATGTGGAGAATCCCTGATACACTCTAAGAAGTAATATCCAAGAAACACACTTTACCACTAAACTGGCTCCCAAAAGGGCCCTGAAGAAGTAGTGTAGTGGAGTTCCTTCAGTTATCCCAGCACAACATAATTTGCTCTCTGTGTCCTGAAGAGCCATAATGTACAAATGGCTATCTTAAGTATCTAAGATCATGTTGCTAAGTATGTTTTCTCTCTGCAATATATTTTTTTAACCTGTGGTGTTATTTATGTACTGAATCTTTAAGAACTATATCCAATGAAAAACTGATATACTCGAAGTACTGATAGTCTAAAGTGGTTAACTTCTTCATAAAACAATATAATAGTAGCTATCAATAGGCCTAAATTTATATTATTTGGCTCAATAATCTCCTTAGAATTTATCCTAAGGAAAAAAAATACAGTAGGTTTTGAGATAATCAGTACATAGGTCATTAAGAACAGTTTCCAGAGTCAGATAAAGGCTCAAATCCTCACTCTGCCACATACTAGCAGAAATCAGGCAAGCTTCTTAATCTTCATATAAAATGGAGATAACACTTTCTTATAGTATAGTCACAAGGATGAAACGAGATGATGAATGTAAGGCACCTAAAAAAGTGTCAAGCATGTTAAATGCCAACAAATGGTATTAGTAGAAAAATACTATGTTTAAAATCAGATTCACTGCTCATCATTTCTGTTAGAAGAAAAGAATGTGAGCAGTATGGTTAAAGTTTGTAACACCAAAAGAGGGTCTGATCCGCTAGCATGGGATTCCACATAGCATGCTCCAAGAAGATGCATAGTCCCAGGACTACTGGATCCACTGGTTTTATCACATATCTTGACTCAGAAACCAGGAGTCTAGTAAAATTTTAGAACAGCCTGCAAGAGGTACAGGTGAAGTACAAACACAGAGGCAATACTCTATGAATATGGGATTCCATCCTCCAAGACTCAGCATATTAATTGAATCAAAAATTTCCACATGGTACTATGTCCCCAATAGTACAAACCCATAGATCAAGGAATCAAGGAGAATCAGCATGAATGGCCCCACTTATCATCACTCACAACAAAGACTCACCGGAGGACATTTTGTTTCCCATTTCTGCCCACAGGAAGCAAACACTTCCACCAGAGGACAAAGCAAGAGTTCCTATAGATACTAAAAACAGACACTAAGAGTTGGGTGTGGTGGCTCATGCCTGTAATCCCAGGACGTTGGGAGGCTGAGGTAGATGGATTACTTGGTCAGGAGTTCAAGACCAGCCTGACCAACATGGTGAAACCCCGTCCCTACTAAAAATACAAAAAATCGGCTGGGCGTGGTGGCACATGCCTATAATCCCAGCTACTTGGGAGGCTGAGGCAGGAGAATCACTGGAACCCAGGGGGTAGGGGTTGTAGTGAGCCAAGATCGCACCACTGTGCTCCAGCCTGGGCAATACAGCAAGACTCTATCCTCAAAAATAAATAAAATAAAATAAAACAGACACTATGGCTGCACTCTGGTTCCTTATAACCATGATCCAGCAGGAAAGAGAAGAGTAATTATCTTTGGAAGAGTAATTGACTCCCATCATCTGGAGGAGGTAGGGTCGCTATTACACAATGGAGGCAAAAAGAAGTATGTGCGGTGAATCCATGTGATTCAGAAGATTCACTTAAATGCCTCCTTATATTTCCTTGCCCAATTGTAATGATAAATAGACAAATGTAGCAACCCTGACCTCAAATGAAGATGGTTATTAAGACCACAGATCCCTCAGGGATGAGGGTCTGGTCACGTTATCACTTAAGTTAATGAAGACCAGTATAGCTGGTAGTTGAGGGTGAACGGAATCTAGGAAGGGAGAGTGGAAGAGGGTAGTAATTAGTATCAGGTGCCACCAGAAACCAGCTGCAGCAGTGGGGACTGTAGTTCATCGTATTAACCTCCTCTTTGTTTCCCCAAAGAAGAAAACCATGAGAATCCCAGAACAGCTGATCTCCAACATGTATGAAGAAACAGATCCAAGTGATGCAAGGAGTAGCCTGTGACGAACCACAACAAGGAGTGATATGTACTGTCCTAACTAGCTGCTAGGAATGATATCAGACAGCCTCCATTTATCAGTTCCCTCAGGCTTCCCTCAGCTGCAGAGGATCACCTTGCCCAAAGGTAACTTTCCCAGGAAAGTCCACATGCAATGACTGAACAGAGAGTAGGAATTAAACCCAGCCAAACATGTTAGCCCATAGTGGGACAATGCTAACAGGCCATATATGCGCCAAAGTTCTCCACTAGGTTGGCTAAGGTTTTATTGGGCCTGCATCTAGTTCAAACTCTTACCTACTCTCCTTTCCTTCCATGGGTATTTATCCCTATATATCCCAAATTTCATCTCAGCACCTGCTTCCAGATACTGCAACACATGGCTATTAGGCAGATTTGTATTAATTTAATACACTTAAGTAAAACTGGTATTCCAAGAATATACACCATGTTTATCTTGTTTCCCATACCTCCAACAGTTCCCAGTTTGATAAGTGCCATCATACATCACTGAATTGCTATCTTCAATATCACATAGTAACTTATATATCTAACAGGAAATAACTAAATGATTTTTTTTTTTTTTAAGTTAAGAGAATAACCAGTGCACGAATGGCCAGTACAACTTACTTGTACTGAGGAAGGCTTCGGAACAGTGGTTACCACAGTAGTTCCTATTTGTGCCAATTTTTTAACAGGTGTCACTGCCACTTTCTTGATTAATTGTGAGCTAGAGTTCTTGGCGGTGGAGGGGAGCAAGATAACACAAAGTCATTAGCATTAGTAATTTAAAATCAGTACTATAGTGAACATTAGAACACTTTATGACAGCAAATGTATTTATTATGACTGGCATTATAACCTTATGTGTTTTATGCACATTCTGTACTACAAACCTAACTGAACTGATCAGCTGCCCAGATGACACTCATTTCATATTTCTAAGGTGGCAACTGATTCAATAAATAACCCATTTATCTGAAATTTCAAACTAAATAAATATTACAGTATTCAACATTAAAATATTAATCTTGACTCTTTGGTTCATACAGAAAAAATATAGATTCTTATGTAATATTTAATTATAAACAAAAACCTGCTAACCTCTATTCTCAACCCACAGTCATTAAACCAAACTACAAAGGGAAGGAGTAGCTATTATTGACAGATATGGTAACAGAGAAAATGACTGTTTCAGGACCTAGAATCAAATTAGCAGGGCACAAAAATGAAAAAAAAACTGGCAGAGAATGATTATTACAACAAAAAACAATGCAATCTGTCATTACAATGAGCCTGAGTCATCAAGAAAATGCTAAACTACATTCAGCATTTTTTAAAGTAAAATACCCATTAAAAATATATATATATATTTTATTTTATATATATATATTTTTTATAATATAGTTTGTGAAAACACAAAAATTAGTCGGGCGTGGTGGCAGGCACCTGTAATCCCAGCTACTCAGGAGGCAGAACTATTATATTCTTTCCATTTAAGATGCAAATAGGCCAGGTACGGTGGCTCACATCTGTAATCCCAGCACTTTGGGAGGCCAAGGCAAGAGGATTGTCACAAGCCCAAGAGTTCAAGACCAGCCTGAGCAACAAAGTGACACACTGTCTCTGCAAAAAGTAAAATTAGTCGGGCATGGTGGTATGCAGTTGTGGTCCCAGCTACATGGGAGCCTGAGACATTACCTGAGCTCGGGAGCTTGAGGCTGCAGTGAACCAATTGAGCCACGTTCACGCAACTATACTCCAGCCTGGGAGACAGAGTGAGACCCTGTCTCCAAAAAGATGGAAAGAACCCTCTGAACATTCCTTTGAGGACATAAAATCTGAATATGAAGACTGAATTTACTATTTTGGCAATTATCAGAGGACAAAACCAAAAATCTTTATTAAATTGACATACTCAAGGGAAGCTGACTTAAAAAGTTAAGCAGAATCATGTCTTACATTATTGTTTACTAGCAAACATATACACAACATTTATATGAAAATTACAGCTGAGAAAGAAAGATGAAAAATATTTAAGGTATATTACCGGCACTGTACAGATTTTGACTGTTTGAGGATTTGCTGGTACTGCTGGCCTTGAGGTTATGTTACTTGTCGTCTCGGCTCTTGTTACAGCTTGCTGAGGAGATACCAACATCAACTGACCACTGTTACTTTTAATCAACACGGTTCCTATATTTAAAAAAGGAAGAAAAAAGTGACCTCTGAGCCAATAAATACAGCATAACCATCACATATGTTCTTCTCCCATTTCTTTCAACACTTTAAAATGATGTCTTCAGTACATAGTGAATTTCATGTCTGCTACTTATATACAAAGATGAACAAATGTTTTTACTCCAAGCTATTTAAAAATGTAAAATCTATGAATACAATGAGATGTTCCTGAAGAAAGCAAAACACTTATTCTTCATGACATCAAAACTACCTATAAAGCTACAGTAATTAAGATGGTGGGGTTAACGGCATAAGACTGAATAAGCTGACCACTGGAATAGAATAGAGAACCCCCAAATCAACTCATGCAGATATGTCATATCACATTTTCCTAAAAGGCTCTGTAGATTCATGAGGAAAGGAGAGACTATTCAGTAAATGGGGCTGGTCAATTAGCTGGTCTATATGGAAAAGATAAAATTTGAGAAAGAAAAATATATATAAATGTGAGCCCTTTAAAATTATCTCCCCCAGAGAGGCATTAAAATGAGACAGCAATTAGGTCTTACTCCCCTTTGCTATGTAATCAATCCTCTCTTGAAACTGCTTGCTGTAGCCACAAGTAACTTTAAAGTAACCTAACAACGCCACATGCCAGATAACATAAACCACACTCTATAGTTCAACAAGGTATAACCAATCAATGTTATTTCTGCAAACCAATGAGGATTCCTGACAAGTAACTTTTTTTTTTTTTTTTTTTTTGAGACAGAGTCTCGCTCTGTCGCCTAGGTGGCTCACTGGGCTCACTGCAACCTCTGCCTCCCGGGTTCAAGAGATTCTCCTGACTCACCCTCCCAAGTAGCTGAGATTACAGGCATGCATAACCATGCCCGGCTAATTTTTTTATATTTTTCGTAGAGATGGGGTTTTGCCATGTTGGCCAGGCTGGTCTCAAACTCCTGACCTCAAGTGATCCTCCCACCTCAGCCTCCCAAAGTGCTGGATTACAGGTGTGAGCCACCACACCTGGCTGACAAGTAACATTTTAATCAACCCACTCTTTATCCCCTTTTTTGCTTTTAAAAACCTGTTTGTTACAAAGGCACTCCCCAAGACAATTTGTGTGTCCTGGGCAGCTGTACTCAACGTTGCCCAAACAAACTCACTATATTAATTTTGCCTCAGCTTCTTTCTTTTAGGTTGACCTTTCAGATGCCTATTTCACACATATTCACAAAAACCAGGTGCATTAAGAATATAAAAGTAAAAGGTAAAGATTTTTAAACTCTTAGACAACGTAGAAAATTATCTTTCTGCATGCCTGTAGTCCCAGCTACTTGGGACAATCACTGAGGCAGGAGGATAGCTTGAGCCCAGGAGCTCGAGGCTGCAGTGAGCTATGATCGTGCCTACACTCTAGCCTGGGACACAGAGCAAGAACCTGTCTCAAAAGAGAGAGAGAGAGAGAGAGAGACAGAGAAAGGACTTTCTGAAATTGGGATAGGGAAGAATTTCTTAAAGTCTGATAAACTCAACTACATTAAAAGTAAAAACTGTTACTCAGCAAAAGACACCATCAGGTAATGAAGTAAAATTTTGGTTCACATATATTCAAAGGATGAGTATCCAAAATGCACAAAAGAAACACAGACGCCAAGGACAGGGAAAGGTAAATTAAGACCACACTGAAATATCACTTCCTATCTACATAGACAAGCAAAGATTAAGATGACCAATGGCAATACCAAGGGTTAGAGAAAAGTGTATCAACAGGAATTCTAATATCTTGGTGGTAGCAGTACAATTTGGTACAACTAACTACTTTCTTCAATTTTATGAGACTGTGCAAAATTTATTTCCATTTGCGTATCCTGTAACTCAGTATTTCTAACCTAAAGTAATTCTTGACCAGGCTTGGTGGCTCACGCCTGTAATCCCAACACTTTGGCAGGCTAAGGCAGGAAGATCTCTTGAGACCTGGGGTTTGAGACTACCCTGGGCAACAAAGTGAGACCCTGTCTCTACAAAAAAAAATTTTTTAATTAGCCAAATGCAGTGGGTGTGTGCCTGTAGTCCCAGCTACTCAACAGACTGAGGCAGGAGGCTCACTTGAGCCCAATCTGACTAGATGTCAGATTTAATAAATGTCAGAGTAACAATTATAAGTATATTCAAAGGAATAAAAGGAACCATACTTAAAGAAGTAAAGGAAGGTGTAATACATCTATAATATCACTAGAGATAAATATTATTTTTAAAAAACAGAACCTCTGTCACTACAGTAACAAATTCACAAGAGATTCAAAAGTAAACCTGAACTGGCAAAAGAAAGATCAGCCAACTTGGAGATAAATCTATAGAAATTATGCAATCCAAAGAACAAAAAGAATGATGAAAAATAAACAGATTCTCAGAAAACATGGAACACCATTAAAGACACCAACATAGGCATAATTTGAGTACCAGAAAGAGAGGGGAGAGAGAAAGGAACAGGAAAAAAAAAAAAAAAATCAAAGAAATAACAGCTGAAAGCTTCCCAAATTTGAAGGAAAATAATACAGACATCAAAGTAGCTCAAGAAACCCCAAGTAAGGTAAGTGCAAAGACAGCCACACCAAGACACATAGTAGTAAAAATGTTCAAAAACAAAGAAAAAAGGAAGGCAAAGACATTTAAAATTTAAAAACAGGCTGGCACACTGACTTACACTTGTAATCCCAGCACTTTGGGAGGCTGAAGCAGGACTGCTTAAGTCCAGGAGTTTGAGACCAGACTGGACAACAAAGCAAGACCCCATCTCTATAATTTAAAAAAAAAAAAAAAGTTTAAAAGGTAGCCCGGTGTAGTGGTGCACACCTGTAATCCTAGCTACTTGAGAGGTTGAGATGGATCACTCGAACCCAAGAATTCAAAGTTGCAGTGAGCTATAATCATACCACAGCACTCCAGCACAGGCGACAGAGCAAGACCCTGTCTTCAAACCAATTAAAAAAAAAAATTAAACAGAGAAGATTCATTAGTAGCAGACAGTCCATACAAAAAACACTAAATGAAGTTCTTCAGGCTGAAAACATGTGACCAAGGCAGTAATTCAAATTCACGTGGAAAAAACAAAGAGCACTGGTAATTATGTAATTTGGCAGTATGAATGCATTATTACTTCTCCTTTCATAATTGGTTTTAAAAACTATTGTATAGAAAAACTATTGTATAGACTGTAATCCCAGCACTAGAGGCCGAGACGGGTGGATCACGAGGTCAGGAGATCGAGACCATCCTGGCTAACACGGTGAAACCCCGTCTCTACTAAAAATACAAAAAACTAGCCGGGCGAGGTGGCGGGCGCCCTGTAGTCCCAGCTACTCAGGAGGCTGAGGCAGGAGAATGGCGTGAACCGGGAGGCGGAGCTTGCAGTGAGCTGAGATCCGGCCACTGCACTCCAGTCCGGCAACAGAGCGAGACTCCATCTCAAAAAAAAAAAAAAAAAAATTATTACTTCTCCTTTCATAATTGGTTTTAAAAACTATTGTATAGAACAATATGTATAGAATTATATCTTTGGAAATTTAACATATAGGAATGTAAAACTGTTACAAATAGAAGCACAGAGGAAATAGGTGGAAGAAAAGCTGTATTGTACTAAGAAAGGTACTTCAGATGGTAGCTCAGAAGCAAAGGAACAAATGAAGAAAATCCAGAAAAGACAAATAAGGTAATGTAACAACTGATATAAACATGTCCTTGCTCTCTCCTTCCCTCAGCTTTTTTTTTTTTTTTTTTTTTTTGAGATGAAGTGTTGCTCCATCACCAGGCTGGAGTGCAGTGGTGCAGTCTTCTCAGCTCACTGCAACCTCCAACTCCCTGATTCAAGTGATTCTCCTGCCTCAGTCTTCTGAGTAGCTGGGATTACAGGTACATGCCACCACGCCCAGCTAATTTTTGTATTTTTAGTAGAGTTGGGGTTTCACCATGTTGGCCAGGATGGTCTCGATCTCCTGACCTCGTGATCTGCCCGCCTTGGCCTCCCAAAGTGCTGGGATTACAGGCATGAGCCACCGCACCCTGCCTCAGCTTCTTTAAAATACATAAAATTATGTAACATAATAATTATAATAAGGTATAGCTGGGTTTGTGATATAACTAGATGAAAGGTATAAAGCAATAATTACATACACACACACTCACACACACACATGCAGAGGAAAGCCGGAAATGAGCTTAAAGAAAGGGCTTCTTTGTCTCACTGAAATAAGTTAATATACACATGAAGGAGATTCCAATGAGATTCATCTTGTAAGCCCTAAAGCAACCTCTAAGAAAAACAAAAACATGTTGAAAAAATTACAAAGGATAAGTGTTACCCTAGGGAATATTTGCTTAATACAAAAGAAAGCCGGAAAAGTATAGAGGAAAAAGTAAAAGAAACATATAGGAAACAAAAGTAAATGGCTGGCCTAAGTCCAACTATAGTAACATTAAATGTAAATGTGAATGTACAAAATAATCCAATCAAGAGGCAGAAAGTGTTGGGTGGGACAAAAAACAAAATTCAACTATATGCTGCCTACAAGAGACATACATTAGACTCAAAGATATAAAAGAGTTGAAAATAAAAGACATCATACAAATAGCAACCACAAGAAAGCTGAAGTGGCCATACTAATATCAAAATAGACTTTAAACAAAAGATAAAGAAGGGCATTTTGTAATGCTGGGGCTAACAGATCAACACGATGTAACATTTTAAGCACATATACATCACACACAGAGCCTAAAATATATGAAGCAAAAAGTGATAAAAGGAAAAATAATTCAGCAATTGCTTGGACACTGCAATGCCCCACTTTCAATGAAGAATAGAACTAAACAGAAAAGCAGCAAGGAAATCAAACACTTGAAAAAACTATAAAGCAGCTAAACCTAACTCACATCTATGGAGTGCTTCACCTAACAACAATAGCATTCTTAAGTGTATGTAAAACATTCTCCAAGACAGACCATATACTAGGACA